GTCTACACCTCCCTGAAGGAGCAACAACAACAAAAGCCTAGAAAAGGAAGGGGATTCTGATCCAGGACACCACAGTCATGAGCCTGGGGACCTAATGCTGAGTGAAATAGGCCCGTCACCAGAAGACAGGCCCTAGGCCTAGCCGGTTTGGCTCGGTGGATAGAGTGTCAGCCTGCAAACTGAAAGGTCCCAGGTTTGATTCCGGTCAAGGGCACATGCCAGGGTTGTGGGCTCCATCCCCAGTAGGGGGCCTGCAGGAGGCAGTTAATCCAAGATTCTTTCTCATCCTGGATGTTTCTATCTCTCCCTCCCCCTTCCTCTCTGATATCAATAAAAATATATTAAAAAACAACAACAACACAAAAGACAGGCCCTGTATGACTCCACTTCTAACAAGTACCCAGAGTTGTCAAATTCATAGGAACCAAAGGAGAGTCCTAGCCATTTTGGCTCAGTGGATAGAGCGTCAGCCTGTGGACTGAAGGGTCCCAGGTTCAACTCAGGTCAAGGGTATATGCCCGGGTTGCAGCCTCAATCCACAGTAGGGGACGTGCAGGAGGCAGCCAATCAACGATTCTCTCTCATCATAGATGTTTCTCTTTCCCTGGCTCAGTGGATAGAGCGTCGGCCTGTGGACTGAAGAGTTCCAGGTTCGATTCCGGTCAAGGGCATGTACCTTGGTTGCGGTCACATCCCCAGTGGGGGGTGTGCAGGAGGCAGCTGATCAATGTTTCTCTCTCATCAATGTTTCTAACTCTCTATCCCTCTCCCTTCCTCTCTGTAAAAAAGGGCGAGGCCTACGCCCTCCATCTTGCCCTGAATCCTCCATTTTTGGGCAGCAGCCATGTGCTCAGCAAGGAGCTTCTTCCCGGAAGCCCAAGCCTCTGCTAGCCACACCTAGGATTTCTTTAAACTAACCAATGATAATCAAGGGAAGTGTGCGCCATAGATACGACCACATCCTGTGTAACAAGACACCGACTTGTGCCTGGCCAATCGGCAGGGCCCACAGTCCTCTCTCCTCCCCTTACTATAAAACCCCTTTCCCCACAGAGCTGGCTCGCTCTCTGCCTCTTGCCGCTGCTTTGGCGAGTGTGGTAGACAGGGAGCCCGAGCTAGCTCGAATAAAGACTCTAATGCTTTTGCATCGGACTCGGCTGGCTCCCTGGTGTGGTTTCTTGGGGATCCTGAAATCTGGCATAACATATATATTTTTAAAAATAAATTAAATTAAAAACGAAAAAACACCAGCCTCAGAGCCTGTGGACAGACCTCCAACCCACCCCTACTTTCTCACTCACACAGCTCCCAGCTCCTGCTTTCATCTGGAAAATGGGTCTTTTCCAGCCTGGAAATGGAGCCGGGCAGAGCAAACAGCTGCTCCCTCGGGTCCTCCAGGCCTCTAGGATGTCCGAACCCACGCGACCTGTCTCCTACTGAGGAGGGTCAGGTACCCGGACTTACCGGACAGACAGACTGCGGACGGCTGGGGCAGACCCTGCTCCTGATGGGTCAGTGAGTTTGAGTGAAGCCACGGAGCTGGAGCCAATAAAGATAAAATCTCTACCTCGGAGCTGGAAAAGCCTAAAAGCCCACCCACCCTTTCCCGCCCCTCCCCGCCGCCCCCTGGCTGGGCAGGGCGGGCCAGCAGGCAGGCCAGTTGAGGTGGAATCTACTGCGATGCTATTGTGGACCACATGCTACCCTGACAAGCTCAGGGGAGGCCTGCATGGCGGTCTTGCAAACTCAGAGACCTAAAGTCACCACTAAGGATGGTCTGAAATTAAACCTTAACTAAAAGCAGTGATGCTGGGTAGTCACCTCCTAGGCCGGGATCCTCACTGACAAGGTCAACCTTTACCTTAACTGAGCCTATCTGTCTTTTTGCATCTCTGATAACATACCCTTGAAATGTCTGGGTAGCTTGTAACTTCCCCTTTTCTGGACCCGTTGGGGCACAACCTAATTGCTGGGTGCCAGGACAGAGACCACAAATTCCTTCATTATCATGTTAATTGTTCCTGCACCCACCTAAGTGTGTGTCCATCATTTTACTTTTTATCCAATCCCAGGGGGT